GAGCTCTTCTCTTCACCACTCAGGTAAGCCTGGAAGTGAGTGGAGCCAGTTATTCAGAGAGCCACACGCAGGCTGTTTGGGCCGGAACATAGTATGGGAGAGGGCAGGTGGTCCAAGAGGCCAGTGAGGTGGGGAGAGGAGAAAACATGGACCTCCCTTGTCCTCTAGCCATGTCACTTGCCTGAAGGTAGGAAGCCTGGATGCTTGGAGGTCGCTTTCGTGACATTTCAGCAAGAAGTGCTGGTGTGTCCTATTAGAAGATGGAGTAAGAATAAAGAATGCTGGTGGAGTATGAGGGTCCTAAAGGGAGAATGGACAGAGCTTGGTTGAAGCTTAGAGATGGGGAAAGAGAAAGAAATTGGGAGTTCTGTGCTCAGGTTCCAGCTCAATCAACTAGATGGATGGATCCAGTTCTGTTTCTTCCACCAATTTGCTGGGTGTCCTGGGGACACCCAGGCTTTCTAGTTATCTATCTTCCTAGCTCTAAAATGAAGATGGTGAAACCTGACCTCCGCATGCATCATGTGTCAAGAGAAGATGAAATCATCAATCTGGAAGTGCTCTGGAAAGTCAAAAGTACTTTGCAAATGTAAGTGGTTATTATTTTATGGTTATCTTTACGGTCCTCCTCCCTCCTGGGACTTACAGATGGAGCCAGACGGAAAGGCAACCCCAGGAGCTGCCGAAGCACAGCCGCTACTGTAGTTTTCATCAGTCAGATCCGTCTCTGGCTGATGGGAGCCACATTCCCACGTACTAAATTGCTAATAGCTTCCCCGGGGAGCTCCTTTCTGCTCTCACTCCTCAGTGATTTCTGTTTCTCTGCTGCTGACGCCTGCTGATGCTCCTGGGGCGGGGGGGGGGGGGGATTTCTGGTTTGGATTTTGCTTTTATTGAGGTTAGGGATGGGACAAACCCTGGTCAGAGCCCAAAGTTTTCAGTAACCAGGTGTGGAGGGCTCTGTCTACTCTGTGCTCTATCATGAATGGGGATGGACTCAAGAATCTCCTGAATTTGGGTGTGGTGGTGCATACCTATAATCCCAGCTACTCAGGAGAAGGATCAGGAGTTTGATGCCCTGGCAACATTTCTCTTAAGATCCTATCTGAAAAACAAACTAAAAATCCAAGGCCTAGGTGTGTGACTGAAGTGGTAGAATGCTTGCCCTGAGATCAAACTCCAGTACCATTCCAAAAAAAAAAAGAAAGAAAAGAAAAAGTAAAGAATCTCCTGTGCTCCGAGGGACTCGGTTACCCCCAGGGTGGGGAAACTGCTGGACAGAGGTGGGCAGAGCATGTTTGAGTGACTTCCTAGTCTTCGTCTTGGGAGGCACCTAGCCTAGTAATCTGGAGACCGGGTGTTGTGTCACACAGACCTGGCGTGGCACCTCAGCCAGGTGAGCGGAAATCTCAAATCCGAATGAGCTGATGCCAACGCCCTCCTCTTAGCCACTCGGATAAACCGGGGGGTGAGAGAGGCAAGGTTTTGGGGGAACCTGGCTCGGCAGGTGACCTACCTTCCCCAGATGCAATAGCAGTACAGAAACGCCTGCCCACGGGCTCCTGGAGGGATGATGTCATAGATAATCCACAACGCACCTGGTCCAGTGCAAGCACTCCTTAAATGGCAGCCAGTGGGATCACACACAGGTTTGTGACCACAAACATGAGACTCCCTTTTGTTTATTTTATATTCTTATTTTTTGAGACAGGGTCTTGCTAAGTAGCCCAGGCTGGCCTTGAGCTCACCATCCTCCTGTCCCAGCCTCCCACATGCTGGGGATGAGACTCCCTTTTAAAGACAAACAGACTAGAATGTTTACATCTATGGAAGAGTTGATCAGTTTGAGTGCAGGCCTCCATCTGTATTTATGGGGCAGATTGGTTCCAGGATTCCCCTGGGATACCAGAGTCCACTGATGCCAGATTCCTTATAGAAAATGGAGTAGCATTTGTATAGAACCTGTGCACACCCTCTCCCATATCTTAAACCATCTCTAGATCACTTGTAACACCTGCTGCAATGTGAGTGCTACATAAAGAGTTCTTATATTGTATTGTTTAGGGGATGATAGTGCGTGGTCAGTACAAATACATTCTTTTTAAAAAGGTTTCCCATCCACAGATGGTTGAATTGAAAGGTTTAGAACCCAGGGATGTGGAGAGTTGATTGCCCTGGGCTGAACCCAGGGCAAGTGCTAAGCAAGGGCCCTATTGGTGAGCTACATCTTTTTTTTTTTTTTTTGGTGGGACTGGGATTTGAACTCAGGGCTCCACACTTGCAAAGCAGGCACTCTACCACTTGAGCTACACCACCAGATCTGGTTATTTTGGAGATGGGGGTCTTGTAACACAACTCAAAATCAAGAACTTTTGAAAGACATGCAAGTGACCAAGAGTACGAACAGAATAATCATTAAGAAAACAAACTTGCCAAGTTCACACATTGTCCCCACAGTGGACATCAAAAGAGTTCCCAAACTGGGCACCATGGCTCACGTCTGTAATCCTGGCTACTCAGGAGGCAGAGATCAGGAGGATTGCGGTTCAAAGCCAGCCCAGGCAAATAGTTTGAGAGATCCTATCTCGAAAAACCCCTTACGAAAAAGGGCTGGTGGAGTGGCTCAAGGTGAAGGCCCTGAGTTCAAGCCCCAGTGCCACAAAAAAAAAAAAATTCCCAGAAACTGGATGGGGCTTCTACAATGATCTTCAAAGAGAGGAAGGCTGGGGGTGTGTTCAGTGGTAGAGTGCTTGCTTGGCATTGTGTGAGGCCCTGGATCCCATCCCCAGCACCATTAAAAATAAAAATAAAATTAAAAACAGCTGGGTGTGGTGGTTCACATCTGTAATCTCAGCTATTTGAGAGACTGAGGTGGGAGGATTGAGTTTGAGACTCAAGCAAGTTAGCAAGACTCTGTCTCAAAAAAACTTTTAAAAAGGGCTAAGGTGCAGGTGCCAGTGGCTCATGCCTGTAATCCTGGCTACTAGGGAGGCGGGATCAGGAGGATTAAGGTTCAAAGCCAGCCCAGGCAAATAGTTTGAGAAACGTTATCTCGAAGAAAACCGCACAGAACAGAGGGTGGCTCAAGTGGTAGAGTGCCTGTCTAGCAAGCATGAGGCCCTGAGTTCAAACCCCAGTGTTGCCAAAAACCAAACAAAAAAAGTATGCTAATTTTCCATTGCTGTGATGAAATATCTGAGTTACACAACTTAAAGGAGGAAAGATTTAGAGGTATGAGGCCCTGGGATTGATCCCCAGCACTACCAAAGCAGAAAAGGAAAGAAGGAAGGAAGAAGGGAGGGAGGAGAGAGAAGGGGAGGGAAGGGAAGGAAGGAAGAAAAAAGGAAGGGAGATTTGTTTGGCTCATAGTTTCAGAAGGTTCAGGCCATGGTCAGCTGGCTGTATTGTTTTGGGACCTGTGGCGAGGCAGAGCATCATGGCCAGGAGTGAGGGGTACAGCACACCCCAGTGACCTGTTCCCTCCAGCTAGGTCCCACCTTCTGGAGTTTCCACCACCTCCCACTAGCCCACTGAGCTATGAGTTCATTAATAGATTGACCCATCGATGAGGTGACAATCCTCAAGGTCCAGTCACCTCTCAGAGGTGCCATCTCTGAGCACTGCCACATAGGGGACCAGGCTTTAACATTTGAGCTTCTGAGGAACACCAGATCCAAATCATAGCACAGAGTCTATCATACAAAAGATTTCAGTTGCTTAGAATTCTCCAGTCCATGTTAAGCTATACCTGGCCCGTCTCCCTCAACAAATGCAAGTTCCCCAAGGTCAGCCACAGACAGTGAGCACCTGGGTGCCGGGACTGGACCGAGGTAGGGGGCCGCAATGCACAGGAACTGTGGTGGACTCTTTCCCTGCTCCCCACCACCCAGGCAAAGCTGGGGCACAGTCACTGGTGCCCACTGCTACCCTGAGGGAGGCATTGTGCAGGAGGCACTGTGGACATCAGGGCTGCTTTGCAAGTGATGCTGCCGCTGTCCTCAGCTATGATGGCCCCACGTGGGGAATTCGCCAAGCGTTAGGCAAGGGCCAGGTCTATCTGAGTGTGCCTGCATCCAACAGTGATGAGACTGGGCTGAGCAACAGATCTACCTCATTAAGGCTGATGAGAGAACTCAAAAACTTATGGAGAGGGAAAACTCTGTAAAGTGGTTCGCTGCAGCTGCTGAGTAGCTAAGGGTTGTGGCAAAGAATCTCAGGCCAAGGATATCATCAAAAAGTACGTCAAATGAAAGCAATGAGAATATTGGCGCACGCTCACACACACACACAGCTGCTGTGAGGTGGCAGTGTTGGTGCCAGTCTGTAGTCCCACCACTTGGGAAGCTGGGGCAGGAGGATCATGAGTTCTAGGCCAGCCTGGGCTACGAAGCAGGAGTCTGCCTCAACACACACACACACAAATTCTTTAATTCTTAATAAATTAAAAATTTTTAAGTTAATTTTGTTTTGTTTTTGGTATGATTCCGGGGGTGGAACCCAAGGCCTCACGTATGCTAGACAGGTGTCCTTCTCTGGTACTTCTCTCCTCTTTCTAGCGGTAACAGATTTGAACTCAGTGTCTCGCACTTGCTAGGCAGGTGCTCTACTATTTGAACCACACCTCCAGCCCTCTCCATCTTCATCTGCCCAACAACCACCTGAGAGAGATCTTGAGATTTTCCTCGTCCACCAGGTGCGGAGAGTGAACTTGAGAGAGGTTAAGTGACTTGCTCAAGGTTACTGTGCTGGTTGGTGACGGGCGCAGGCGGGAGGCGGGATTCGCACGCAGACTGCAGTGGCGAGGGGGCGGGCGCCGCGTCCGGGCTGGGGCGGAGGCGCCCTGAAGCCCCAAGCGGCCGGCGCAGCAGAGCTGGCCAGGGGGGATAGGCCCGGGGGCGGAGGCCGGGCTCCAGGCCGGTGGTGCAGCGTCCGCCCCCGGTCGCGGGCGCAGACTGGCGGCCGCCTCCGGGCCACGTGGTGCGCGGCGGGTGCGTCCGAGGAGCCCGCGGCGGCTGGGGGTTCACTGCGCTGGGGGCCCGGCTTTCGGGCGGACGCTGCGGGCCGGGCAGGGCCGGGAGGGGAGGCAGCGGCAGGGCGCGCACAGAGCCTGCGACGCGGGCCCTGCAGCCCCCGGCGTCGGGGCCGCAGCCTCGGCCCTCCGCGCGCCCCTCGCGCCAGGTTGCTGCGCCCAGGGCGCACGGTGGCGCGGGACTTGGCGCCGGCCGCCATGGAGCCGGCCCCCTCTGCCGGCGCGGAGCTACAACCCCCGCTCTTCGCCAACGTCTCGGACGCCTTCCCCAGCACGGGTGCCAACGCGTCGGGGCCACCGGGCGCCCGGAGCGCTTCGTCCCTCGCCCTGGCTGTCGCCATCACCGCGCTCTACTCAGCCGTGTGCGCCGTAGGGCTGCTGGGCAACGTGCTCGTCATGTTTGGCATCGTCCGGTGAGTCCGCTGCGCGCCGGGCCGCGGGGCTTGGCCCGGGGGACCTGGGCCCCGGGCCTCTGCACTTCCCTCAGGGTCGCCCAGGTCCAGCGGGGAGGCCACTTCCATGCAGATGGGGACAGGGAATGTACATCTCGATCTCAGGGGTGTGTGTGTGTGAGTACACACTTAAACCTGCCCAACTAACATTTAATATACATTGTAACATTCAGTCAGTCATCTGTTGGCATCCCCCTTGCTTGGGCACCAGGGCTGTGGGACAGTTTGGCAACAGTTTGTGTGTCTGTCGCAGTTTGTGAGTGGGTGATTGTTTGTGACAGTACAAGTGTGCGTTTGGGCTTCTGAAGCCTCCTAGGGGTGGGGGAGATGCTTCACAGAGCGTTGGGCCTTTGGGAGACAGCTGAGTGTGGGCACTGTGCAGGCAGTGGGGACGGGAAGGATTGTGTGTCTGCACCATGCGGTGGGCACACTTGGCAAGTCACATTTGGTGATCAGCTTTTGAGGTTGCTGTGTTGGTGTGTGCATTTCCCAGACTGTCAGTTTGTATTTCTGTATGTGCATATGACGATGTGACTGTTGTTCTTGTCAAACCTCTGAAACCCCAAGGGGAGGTGGACTTCCGGAATGGCTTTGGCACCTGTGCTTGGGCTGTGATGGTGGTCCCTGGATACAGTAGACTGGCAGCTGGTTCTCTGCTCCCTTCCTGGTGGCCATCTGGTCAGGAACTCGATATGATTCAGAGACACCTCAGAGCCTCCTCACAAACACCCCCTCCCATTCTCTTTCCTTCTAAGTCTTTATTGCTACCAAAGACAGTGGTGATTGCCTGGGCAGGATCGGACTGTATGCTTTCTCCCTGGGGAGTGAGGTTCTCTTCTTGGTATCTGTGTCCAGGGCTGGGATCTGAGTCTAAAACCTCATCAGCCCCACCAGCTCAGACATGGGCAAAGAGGGTTGAAAGGAACTGTCATCCTTTAACAAGATGCCCTGATAGCTGGGCATGGTGGTGTACACTTGTAATCCTGGCACTAGGGAGTCAAAGGCAGGAGCATCCAAGACTTTGAGGCCAGCCTGAGGTGGCACTAGCATTTGCTACTAGTTGGAAATGGTCTCCCATGCTGGTTGACTGAGGTCACTTGTTCTAAACTTCTCTGGGCTGTGGTGTCACCAGACAGGGCACAAGGCAATCATGGACTCAGGTTGGAGCTGTGAACTGTGAACTTGGTCCCAGGAAAGTTACTGAGGCTCAAGTCCCAGCCCCCCTACTCAGCGCTCACCTGCCTCAGTTTCCCTGTCAGAGAATAGAGAACCAGTCTCCTCAGTTGGAAAGTATGAGTTGGAGTGCAAAGTGTTTGCAGTACAGAATGTGTTGTGTTGGCACACAGGATGGAGTGTGTGGGTGTCAGGTGACTTTGGCACTGATGACCTCTGGGAATCTCTGCTGCCCCAGAAAGAGTGGGGATACACATGTTCCCTAGGCTTCCCGTGACCCATCCCCAGCTATGGTGGGGAAATTCCCGAGCTAGGAGGATGGACCTGTGCTTTGTGGTTTTGTGAGCGATTGTCCCCACCCCGTCTTTAGGTTTAGAGTTGGGCTAGCCTGAGTATTAATCCCTGTTCTGCCACGCACTGGTTCTGTGATTTGGACAAATCCCTTAGCCTCTTTGAGCCTCTGTTTTTTCATCTGTAGAATGGGTTCATGCTAGAACCTTCTTCAGAGGGTTGCTGGGTGGTGTCAATGAGACAGCATATATAAGACAACTGGCCTGGTGCCTGAACCCAATTAATGGAAGCTGTCTACCTAACGAAGAGGAGGAATTTTGTAGATCCTGTGAGATTAAGGCAGGGAGCATGAGGGAGGCAGTCCTAAGGAGGACCTGAGAGTCGCTGGGTCCTGGCACTGCTCTCTCTAGGTGAGCGTCGGGAGCTCCAGTCTGGGAAAAGCTGAGCGTTCGTGTTCCCTTTTCTCCAGGGTCTTCTGGCTGCTGCGCTGACAGCACAGCTTCCCATTACCATTTTGAGCAAGGGGAGGGCCTCCCCTTCTCAGGTGCCACTCTGTAGAGTCTTTGGGCTCAGTGTGCCCGTGTGTTCCCAACCAGCCTTCCTGAAATTGCACTGTCAGGTGTATGTAAAGGCCACAGCTGGGCCCATGTCGCTAGGACTTTCCCCTGCCAGTCCTCTGTGTGATAGCTATCCCTGGGCCGAAGGATTTAACCCTCACCTACAATCCAGTGTGAAAGACACAGTCACCCCACCCCACCCCCATGGGACAGATAAAACCAGAAATCTGCAGCTCAGAGAGAGATAAGGTGACTTGTTCTCAGTTCACGGCCAGCACTAGACCCAGCACTATTGTGACCCAGCACCAAAACTTCCCGGAGCTGCCAGGGGTGGGGAAGAAGGGTGGCAGAACCCTGTCCTCCTCTTGTCATAGGATCTTCAGAGCGGGATGGAACCTGAGGACTGTGACCCTATATGCTATTCAGCCCACGAGTGTTAGGCTGCTGTCCTTGGAGGAGCTCAGGCTGGAGAAAAGCCCCTGGTCCCCTTAAAGTCTCCTCACACTCTGGTCTATCTGTGACTCCCCAGCCCTGTGTGGGACCTGGCACCACCAACAAATGAATCATTAGGTTGGTTGAATGAGTGAGTGGATGAATTCTGCCTGTCAGTTCTGAGCTTAGACCGTTTGGGGCGGGGGTAGGAGAAGGTTTGCAAAAGAAGATCCAGGGAACCCTTGGGGAAGGAAAGCAGGGTAGTATAAGTGGGTAGAGCTGGGGTTCTGGAGCCACATGTATGTGAGTTCAAAGCCACTTTCTTGCTGTGGAGTGGGCTAGCCACCTCACCTCTTTGAAGCTCATTTCCCCATCTATAAAGTGGGAATATCAACAGTGCATCCAGGGCTGGGGAGAGGCCCAGAGGAGATGAAGTGTGAGATCTGAGTCTTTTAAACCAGAACCCTGGTGGAGACCTGTGCTAGATGCTAAGGTACAGCATTGAGGAAAAGGAAAATTGCTGTTGTCCTGTGCGCAAAAAGCTGAAATGTGTATAGCTGTGCAAAGGGCCTGGGGCTCTTGGTGGTGGTGGTGGTGGGGTCTCACGTGGTTGGAGAGATCAGAGATGGCCTCAGTGGAGATGGAGAGGGGCAGCCAAGTCGACAGCTGAAGGCAGAGAGAGAACTGTGTCAGAGAAGTGTGACATGGAGGAGGGCCTGAGAGAGATGCAGGAGTCTCCGAATGCCAGATCACAAAGCGCCCTCCATCCCTCAGCCCGTGTAGCTGGCCTCTCCCCTCTCCAGGACCACTGCTCATGCACTCATCCTCCTGGATGCGCCAGAGGGACCTCTGGGAATGTGCTTTTATGATAGCATGTGCTTCCCTGCAACGCAGCTTCTATGAATTGTGAGCCGGATTTCTCTGGATACCTGGTCCCCAAGGCAGAGCATCACTCTCTGCTCCTGGACTCTGTGCTGCCCTTGCAGATGCCATGGTGACCAAATCTAGACACCCTACCTAGGCAGAGCCAGTGGCCAATCAGAGTTCCCATCAGCACCCTCTGCATATTGCTGATGTTTGCCAAGCCAGGCTGGTCTAGCCTCAGCTCCCACTGTCCAGACTCTCGGTGTAAGCCTCATACAGCTCCTAACACAGCCACGCCCCAGTGTCCCCTGGTGAGGTACAACTCTAGGGACAAGCGCTGCTTCCTGGGGTTGTGGGGTCCAGTGCAGGCACCTGACCAGCCAGGAGGTGATGCCAGGCTGAGTAGTAAAGGAGTAGCGGCTGTGGAGAGGTCACAAGGAGAGGTGGGGCAGGGTATTCCAGGCAGTGGGACGATGGAGAGCTGCAGAGAACCAAGGCTGGGAGGCTCATTGGACCCAACTGAGTACCAGGGCTGGGTGACTGCAGAGACAAAGGCAAGAAAGGCCTAACAAGCACCGTCCCCCTCCCCATGGTTGTCAAGAGCACCTGCTGTGTGCTGAACTGCCTGGGGCCTGGGAACCAGTTGACGAGTCTGCCGACTTAGCCCCACCTCCCAAAAATCCCCAGGAGGTGCAAATGTTGGAGGCACTCCATGAACCAGCCTCAAGCCCCAGGTAATGAGGGAGTCATTCTGGTGGGCAGCGAGGAGCAGAACTGAGGCCATCGTGGCTGTGTGAGGGACCAGGGGCTATGCAGAGTTTCTAGCTGTCAGTCTGGATGTGGGAGCTATGGTTGGACTGGTCTTTGGCCAGCCATGCTGGGAAATGAGAGAGCTTTGGGTCACAATTCAGGGGATAAAGATTTGAGGGCCATCTCTGCAGAATGGTGTTCAGCAGGACGAATTTTGTGTAGGTGCATTAGATGAGGAGAGAGCATGGCTAGGGCAAAAGAAGGAGCCTTGTGACCTTGGACAGATCATTGGGCTCCTCCTCCATATTCTGTTTCTGAAATGCGGTGCTGCTGGACCTGACAAGAGGACAGGGGCTGGCCAATGGCTGCAGGTGAGGGAGAGCAAGCAGTAGCCCTGTCGCCATTCCCACCAAATCTCCTTGTCTTGCCTGGAAACTGCAAGGCTCCTGGAAACTCCTAGGTCTCGGGTTCATTCCCTGAGGAGTGTGTGTGACTCAGAGGAGTCACCAAAGACACCATTGAGCCTCTTCCTGAGTCCCTGCTTTGTGCCAGGGCTTCTCTAAGCTGCACTCCAAGCCTGCATTGGGGGCTTCCTGTTCTCATTCACCCGTGAGTCTCAGAGCAAGCAAGTGCCTCTCACTGAGAGAGGGGTGGAGTGGAAACTCAAACTCATTCACCTCCACTCTGCCTCTGCTGGTCATGAGATGCATGGAGAATGGAGGTGAGGATGTCTGGGCAGAGAATCAGGACAGACAGCAGGGATGAGGGCAGTTACTGTCTGCAGATCTCTGAGGCCAATTGAGAGCCTGGGCTTTGGAGCCAGGCTGATCTGGAGTCCTCACCCAGCTGGAGAGTGAGCTTGAGCAATCCTTATATTGGGAGAGCCCAGCCTCA